GCACCATCTTCGGGGCTGACCAAGCCAACTACTTTTCGGGCACCTCCACCAATGAGCAAGTGACCAGCAGCCTCTGGAGTTACCACTACACCTAAGGCACCTCCCACACGACCTTCAAATTCAGGTAAAAATTCTTTGTAGGTGCCTACCAAGAGTGCCTCATCCGTTGCATCGACGGGACACACTTCGGGCATCCAGTGCCACCGCTGCCATGGCATTGGCCATGTGCAGAAGGACTGCCCAAGTTAGCGGGCATACATTGCTATAGAAGATGGTTACATCAGCACCTCTGGCATTGAGGATGGAGAAGACCAAGTTACATATGAGGAGGACGGCAAAGTCCTTGGTGATGAGGCCACGGCGTCCTATAGGAGCATCATTGTACAACGGGTGCTCAGCTCACAAGTACAGCAACCTGAGAAGCTACAACACCATAACTTGTTCCAGATTTTCTTCGTCTTCTGCAACCATCGAGCATGTGTCATTATTGATGGAGGTAGCTGCAATAATTTGGTGAGTTCTGAATTGGTCAAGAAGCTTGGCTTGACCACACGCCCGCACCCATGTCCATACCATATTCAGTGGCTAAATGATTCTGGTAAAGCAAAGGTAACATAAACTTGTAGAGTATCATTTTCTATTGGTTCTTATGCTGATTCTGTTGATTGTGATGTGGTACCTATGCAAGCCAGTTCACTCTTATTGGGTCATCCTTGGGAACATGATAATGATGCTACACACCATGGTAGAAGTAATAAATACACCTTTGTGCATAAAGGAAAGAAAATTACTTTGGTACCTTTGACCCCTGCTCAAATTGTACAAGCTGGTAGAGAACGCGCTGCTAGTTTGAATGATGTTCAATCTAAAAATCAGCAAGTTGCTAATTCTATTCTCCCACCTAAAAAGGATAAGTCTACATCTATTTCTAGGGCCAAAGGGATTAAATTGAAGGGTGGTGTTATGCTTGCAACAAAATGTGACTTTGCTGAAATTTCTGATGATGATATTTGTTATGCTTTGGTATGCAAACGAGCTATGTATTCGCTTGATGATATTGTTAGCTCGGTGCCTCCTGCTGTCACTAACCTTTTGCAGGAGTATGAGGACATTTTTCTAGCTGAGATACCCCTGGGGTTGCCACCTATGAGAGGGATAGAGCATCAAATCGATTTGATTCTGGGAGCAACCTTGCCCAACCATGCTGCCTATCGAACCAATCCCGAGGAGATTAAGGAAATTCAGTGGCAAGTCCAAGACGTTTTGGACCGTGGGTATGTACGTGAAAGCCTTAGTTCTTGTGTTGTTCCTGTACTTTTGGTTCCTAAGAAAGATGGAACTTGGCGTATGTGTGTTGATTGTAGAGCCATCAATAATATTACTATTCGGTATCGTCATCCTATTCCTAGGCTAGACGACATGCTTGATGAGTTGTGTGGTTCTATAATTTTCACCAAGATTGACTTGCGAAGTGGCTACCACCAAATTAGAATGAAACTTGGAGATGAATGGAAAACCGCGTTTAAAACCAAATTCGGGTTGTATGAGTGGTTAGTAATGCCTTTTGGTTTGACCAATGCACCTAGCACTTTCATGCGCTTAATGAATGAGGTTTTGAGAGCTTTTATTGGTTGTTTTGTGGTAGTTTACTTTGATGATATATTGATTTATAGCAAGTCTTTTGATGAACATATGGATCACTTACGTGCTGTTTTTAATGCTTTACGTGATGCACGTTTATTTGGTAACCTTGAGAAGTGCATCTTTTGCACGGATCAAGTTTCTTTTCTTGGCTATGTTGTAACTCCATAGGGAATTGAGGTGGACGAGATGAAAATTGAAGCCATAAAGAGCTGGCCGGTTCCCCAAACCGTCACACAGGTGAGGAGTTTTCTTGGTCTTGCAGGATTCTACCGCCACTTCGTCAAAGATTGCAGCACCATCGCTGCCCCGTTGCATGAGTTGATGAAGAAAGGGGTGGTGTTTCATTGGCGAAAGGCACATGAGGAGTCCTTTGACACTTTGAAGGACAAGCTCACACACGCACCATTGCTGCAACTTCTAAATTTTGGTAAGACTTTTGAGCTAGAATGTGATGCTAGTGGAGTTGGCATTGGGGGTGTTTTGATGCAAGATGGTAAACCCATTGCTTACTTTAGTGAAAAATTGCATGGTCCTGTTCTGAATTATTCCACGTATGATAAGGAGTTGTATGCACTTGTCCGTTCTTTAGAGACGTGGCATCATTATTTGTGGCCTAAAGAATTTGTTATTCATTCTGATCATGAATCACTTAAGTATCTTCGCTCTCAACATAATCTGAATCATAGGCATGCTAAATGGGTTGAATTTATTGAATATTTTCCTTATATTATGAAACACAAGAAAGGGAGGGATAATGTTGTTGGGAGTATGCCCTAGAGATAATCATAGAGATGATTGTATTGCCTTGTATCCATGATATATTATGAGTTCATTTGAATATCCATTAAAGACAAACTTGTATCGATTGGCAATTATGTGAATTGTTTGTGAAACTCTTTTACTTGTATGGTTATTCTAAAGTTGTCCCTGATCAGAGTTCTTGTGAGGAAACACATGAATATTAGATCAGCACATTATTAGTTGATGACTATGTTTCACAAGTCATAGACATGGAGATGTCAAACTAATAATGTGGGCACATGTATGACATGGGGCTGGACAGACCCAACGTGAGATGTTCTTATTGTCTCTTTACATATCATGTACGTTATGTCCTTATACCTAAGATTGTCGTATGTACTCAAGATGTGAAATGACCTACTTAGGGACTATCAAACGCTACTCCGTAACTGGGTAGTTATAAAGGTGGTTTTCAAGTCTGTCGGGAAACATGCTGTGAGACATAGTCAATCAAGATGCAATTTGCCCCTCTTCATGAGAGAGAGATATCACTGAACCACTCGAATGATCTGGATCAAGAAAATGCATGGTCGTGCTTGGGTTAATAGTTAACCCACGAGTTGGACCAAATATCGTGTGGCAAAGGGAATAACATGTATGTGGTTTTGTGGTGGTTCGTCTGATATGATCTTTACGTATGCATAGGAGTTGACACGCCTTGCTAGAGGCCGCTGCCAACTATTGGCCGAATAGGAGTATTCGGGCCATGTCTATGTGTGCGTGAACCCATAGGGTCGCACGCTTAAGGGGCTGGAAGCCTAATTTGGATTGGAGCCGAATTAGACAAGGTTTAGGGTTGCTAATGGGCCTCCAACTCGGGAGCTCATTAGGACGCCTATATAAGCAAGGGGAGGGCGGCAAGGCTAGGTCAATTCAGGCCATTTGGTAGCCGCCGCCCTTCCCACGCCCGCGCCTTCGTTCCTCACAGATCTAGCAGTCCGGAGGCGCGATGCTTCCTCCCTGTACGTGTGGATACCTCAGAGGTGCTGCATCTAGAGCACAAGGACGAACTGCATGAGAGGGATGGGCGGAAGGACGACCACGCAACTGCACGGCACTGCTGCGACGTGCACGACTACACTGAGTCGCTTCTGCTGCACCTGCGCATCTAGTGGTAATCCCGTGATCCATAACTAGCGGTAGTTCCTGGTTTATGGGGTCAAAATTTTTGTTTTTCGGCTAGTGTAGCAACCTCATAACCCATCAGTGGTATCAGAGCCGTAGCTGCATCGTTATGGATTCGGATGTATGCATATGGAGATATGCACGGTTGTAGATGTCTTTCTGATCATGGTTCGTGATCTCGCTATGTTGGTCTTGTAACGATCTACTCGTACCGGTCGGAATTCCGCCATCCGAGTTAAGTGATACATGTAAACCCAGTCATGGTGAGTTGGAGATCAATTAGATTGATCGAATCGAACCTAGGTCAAGAGCCGAGCGCATGTGATGTGCGGTGGTGGTAGATTGGATCTATTACCGGGCGCCGGGGTGCAAGAAAAAGTGTTGTTCAGTAAAACGGTCGTAACTTTTGCATATGACCTCAGATTGAGATGATTCTTATCCAAAAATTGTAGAGAAAAAAATTTTACATCCGATTCTCCCCCACTTCGTCGGGTTCGCTGGATTTATTTTTGCGAAAAAAGGCCGGGAAGATGGTGTTTTTGGCGTTTTAAGATTAGGCGTCAGAATCGGTTAACTCTATTTTGCAGGATTTCATGACTGGTATAGCCCTTATGTGTATGTGATGCATGTATGTAATTAATTCATGGCTTGCACGTCATGAGGATGACAATATGGGCTGGAGCCTCATAGATATTGTCAACATTATTGTAATGGCATGCGTGCCAAACTGTGATGATCCTATCCGCGACTATGTAATTTTAGTTCACTGCCTTGCGTTAGTGATAGCTAGTCTTGGCGGACTCATCACTGAAGGATGGCATACATGGATCATGGAGATTAATGGAGATCCCCAGAGGAACAATGGGCTATACCAAGTCATATCTATGTTAATGCCGTTCTTACTATGTTCTACTTTCATGTGCGATAATGTTTTTGTCTACATGCGATAGTCAAGTAGAACGATCCCTCAGCAATGTTTAAGTTGAATTGCTTCCCCAAACCTTGCACTGTCTTTGGTCTTGTACAATCGGTGGTGGGTCTATGAAATTAGGGTGCCACTAATTTTCCTTGACTAGATAGGTTCGTATCGGATACTTACAGTAGAAAGGTTGGTTACTTAAACAAGGTCATCCTAACGGTTAGGGACCTTGGAGCATAAGGAGTTGGGCGCTATAGCATAGAGATGCTACCCAACAACAAGAGTCATATGTGATATGATTAGCAAAGAGTTGCTTACCGATCTACCATGTCTTCTAGCGGTGATGCTAAAGCTCACTAGTAGACTTGTTAGTTGTGGGTCTTGAATCACTAAGTTTCAATAGAGGGATATTGATTTTAGTGGGAGTAGATTCTATTAAAGGCTTAATATTATTTACTCTGTCATGGATACATTGTCTTAGTATTTTTTGCATTACCTTTGTTATAGATAAATGGCGCCTACCAATCAACCATTTACTTTGCGTTCAATTCTTGAGAAAGATAAGTTGAATGGAACAAACTATGCGGATTGGATCCGCAACCTGAGAATTGTTCTCAAGGCTGAGAAAAAGGAAGATATTCTAGACACCCCATTACCTGTAGAGCCTACTGATAATGCACATGCTGCTGAGAAAAACGCTTACAAGAAGGCATGTGATGCTGATCTTGAAGTGAGTTTCCTTATGCTTGCTTGTATGGAACCAGATCTGCAGATGCAGTTTGACAACAACCATGCAGCGTACGATATGATCGTGGCGCTCAATGATATGTTCTAGACTCAAGCCAGGACTGAAAGATTCAATGTCTCAAAGGCTTTTGTTGAAACCAAGCTAGCAGAGGGCGCAGTAGTAGGGCCACATGTGATCAAGATGGTTGGTTACACTCAGAGGTTGGAGAAGCTGGGCTTCCCAATTGGCCCAGAGTTGGCTACTGATTTCATTCTTGCGACTCTTCCACCTAGCTATGGGAACTTCATCTTGAATTACCATATGCATGGGGCGGAAAAGGTCTTGAATGAATTGTGTGGCATGCTTAAAACTGCAGAGGCTGATATCAAGAAAGGTGTTGGCAGTAGCCATGTGATGGCGGTCCAAATAAGCCCCGATTTAAAAAGAGGGGCAATTCTTGGAAGAAGAAGAAGGGCAAGGCTAAAGGTGAGGCTAAAGGTGAGAACTCTAAGCCAAACCCACCTGCGCCCAAGGCTGGACCAACTGCTGACACTGAATGCTATCATTGTAAGGGGAAAGGTCACTAGAAGAGGAACTACAAGCTGTACTTAGAATCCATGAAGGATAGCGGCAGTAAAGGTACTCCCGCAATTTGTACACTTGTTGTTTATGTTACGGACATTTTCCTCGCTAACTCTTATATAAATTCTTGGGTATTTGATACCGGATCGGTTGCTCATATTTGCAATACGATGCAGGGAATGACAAGAAGTTGAAGCGTGGAAAAGGGAGAAGTTGATTTCCGCATGGGCAATAATGCAAGAGTTGCTGCGTTGAACGTCGTGACGATGCAACTCCACCTCCCATCAGGATTTATTTTGGAATTGAATAATTGTTATTTTGTTCCTAGTTTAAGTCGAAACATTGTGTCACCTTCATGTTTGATGAAGGATGGTTATTCATTTGCGAGTAAAGACAATGGTTGTGTTATCTCTAAGAATGACATGTTTGTGGCTTTTGCATCCATTGTGAATGGGTTATTTATTTTAAATCTTGATGATGCACCTGTCTGTAATATAAGTGCTAAAAGGCCTCGGCTTAATGAGTTAAGTCCTACCTATATGTGGCATTGTCGTTTAGGTCATATAAGTGAGAATCGCATGAAGAGGCTCCATGTTGATGGGCTTTTAACTTCGTTTGATTTTGAATCATACGAGACATGTCAGGCTTGTTTGCTAGGGAAGATGGACCAAGGCGCCTTTCACAGGTTTTCCTAAGAGGGCGATAGACTTGTTGGAACTCGTACATACTAATGTATGTGGACCAATGAGCACGATAGCTAGAGGCGGATTCCAATACTTCATAACCTTCACTGATGATTTTAGTAGATATGGCTATGTCTACTTAATGAAACATAAATCTGAGACATTTGAAAAGTTCAAAGAATTTCATAATGAAGTAGAGAATCAACGTGGCAAGAAAATTAAGGCCTTGCGATCTGATCGTGGAGGAGAATATTTGAGCCATGAGTTTAGCAACCATCTAAAGAGTTGCGGAATTGTTCCACAGCTTACGCCACCTGGAACGCCTTAGAGAAATGGCGTGTCCGAGCGACGTAATCGGACTTTGTTGGACATGGTTCGGTCAATGATGAGCCAGTCAGACCTACCTTTATCATTTTGGGGATACGCTCTAGAAACAGCCGCTTTCACATTAAATAGGGTACCGTCTAAGTCCATAGTTAAGACACCATATGAGATGTGGACTGGTAAGAGTCCCAGTTTGTATTTTCTAAAAATTTGGGCTTGTGAAGTTTATGTCAAACGACTTCAGTCAGATAAACTAACACCCAAATCGGACAAATGCTTTTTCGTGGGATATCCAAAGGAAACTTTAGGATATTACTTTTACAACTGATCAGAGGGCAAAGTGTTTGTTGCTCGGAACGGTATTTTCTTAGAGAAAGAGTTTCTCAAAAGAGAGAAAAGTGGACAGAAGGTGTATCTTGAAGAAGTTCAAGATGAGCAAACAGGGAAGGACTCTACGAGTGATGCTAGTGTAGCAGAACAAGTTGAGATACCCGTGGCAGTAGAGGCACCGCCACAACCACGAAGGTTAGCAAGAATCCGTGAGGCACACGGGGAATTGTTATTGTTGGACGATGACGAACCTGCAACATATGCGAAAGTAATGATGGACCTAGATTTCGAGAAATGGCAAAGTGCCATGAGATCCGAGATAGATTCCATGGGAGACAATCAAGTTTGGAACTTGGTTGACCCGCCTGATGGGGTTAGACCCATAGAGTGCAAATGGATCTATAAAAAGAAAAAGGATATGGATGGAAATGTTCATGTCTATAAAGCTCGACTTGTTGCAAAGGGTTTTCGGCAAGTTCAAGGAATTGACTACGACGAGACTTTCTCGCCAGTAGCGATGCTTATTTCGATTATGAGATCTGGCAGATGGATGTTAAAACGGCCTTTCTAAATGGAAATTTAGAAGAGGACGTGTATATGATACAGCCCGAAGGTTTTGTTGATTCAAGCAATGCTGGAAAAATATGCAAGCTTAAGAAATCTATTTATGGGTTAAAGCAAGCATCTCAGAGTTGGAACATTCATTTTGATGAAGTAGTCAAAGGGTTTGGTTTTCATCAGAATGAAGAAGAACCTTGTGTTTACAAGAAAGAAAGTGGGAGTGCTATTGTATTTCTAATCTTGTATGTAGATGACATACTATTGATTGGGAATGATATTCCAATGTTGCAATCTATAAAGACTTCACTGAATAATAGTTTTTCTATGAAGGATTTAGGAGAAGCAGCATACATTTTGGGCATTAAGATCTATAGAGATAGATCGAAGAGGCTTATAGGATTAAGCCAAGATACGTACATTGACAAGGTGTTGAAACGGTTCAACATGGAACAGTATAAGAAAGGGTTCTTGCCTATGTCACATGGCATGCGCTTTAGCACTAAACAGTGTCCTTCGATAGCTGATGAGCGCAATCGTATGAGTAAGGTTCCATACGCCTCGGCAATTGGTTCCATCATGTACGCCATGATATGTACACGTCCAGATGTCTCATATGCTCTAAGTGTTGCGAGCAGGTACCAAGCAAATCTAGGTGAGAGTCACTGGACACTTGCTAAAAACATTCTTAAGTACTTGAGAAGGACTAAAGATGTGTTCCTAGTCTATGGAGGTGAGGAAGAGCTCATTGTAAATGGTTACACTGATGCTAGCTTCCAAACTGACACGGATGATTCACAGTCTCAATCAGGATATGTGTTCACAATAAATGGTGGTGCGGTTAGCTAGAAAAGTTCCAAGCAGGAGACGGTGTCCGATTCTACAGCAGAAGCCGAGTACATCGCAGCTTCTAAATCTACGAAGGAAGGTGTTTGGATGAGGAGGTTTCTCATTGAACTTGGTGTGTTTCCAAATGCATCTAGCCCATTGAATTTGCATTGTGATAGCAATGGGGCTATAGCACAGGCCAAGGAGCCAAGGAATCACCAAAAGAACAAACATGTACTTCAGAAATTTCACCTGATTAGAGAGTTCATTAGTAGAGGTGACATCAAGATGTGCAAGATACACATGGATTTGAATGTTGTAGATCCTTTGACAAAGGCTCTTCCATAGCCTAAGCATGAGACGCACATGAGAGCTATGGGTATTAAATATCTTCGAGATTAACTCTAGTGCAAGTGGGAGATTGTTGGGAGTATGCCCTAGAGATAATCATAGAGATGATTGTATTGCCTTGTATCCATGATATATTATGAGTTCATTTGAATATCCATTAAAGACAAACTTGTATCGATTGGCAATTATGTGAATTGTTTGTGAAACTCTTTTACTTGTATGGTTATTCTAAAGTTGTCCCTGATCAAAGTTCTTGTGAGGAAACACATGAATATTAGATCAGCACATTATTAGTTGATGACTATGTTTCACAAGTCATAGACATGGAGATGTCAAACTAATAATGTGGGCACATGTATGACATGGGGTTGGACAGACCCAACGTGAGATGTTCTTATTGTCTCTTTACACATCATGTACGTTATGTCCTTATACCTGAGATTGTCGTATGTACTCAAGATGTGAAATGACCTACTTAGGGACTATCAAACGCTACTCCGTAACTGGGTAGTTATAAAGGTGGTTTTCAAGTCTGTCGGGAAACATGCTGTGAGACATAGTCAATCAAGATGGAATTTGCCCCTCTTCATGAGAGAGAGATATCACTGAACCACTCGAATGATCTGGATCAAGAAAATGCATGGCCGTGCTTGGGTTAATAGTTAACCCACGAGTTGGACCAAATATCGTGTGGCAAAGGGAATAACATGTATGTGGTTTTGTGGTGGTTCGTCTGATATGATCTTTACGTATGCATAGGAGTTGACACGCCTTGCTAGAGGCCGCTGCCAACTATTGGCTGAATAGGAGTATTCGGGCCATGTCTATGTGTGCGTGAACCCATAGGGTCGCACGCTTAAGGGGCTGGAAACCTAATTCGGATTGGAGCCAAATTAGACAAGGTTTAGGGTTGCTAATGGGCCTCCAACTCGGGAGCTCATTAGGATGCCTATATAAGCAAGGGGAGGGCGGCAGGGCTAGGTCAATTCAGGCCATTTGGCAGCCGCCGCCCTTCCCACGCCCGTGCCTTCGTTCCTCGCGGATCTAGCAGTCTGGAGGCGCGACGCTTCCTCCCTGTACATGTGGATACCTTGGAGGTGCTGCATCTGGAGCACAAGGATGAACTGCACGAGAGGGACGGGCGGAAGGACGACCACACAACTGCACGGCACTGCTACGACGTGCACGACTACACCGAGTCGCTTCCGCTGCACCTGCGCGTCTAGTGGTAATCCCGTGATCCATAACTAGCGGTAGTTCCTGGTTTATGGGGTCGAAATTTTTGTTTTTCGGCTAGTGTAGCAACTTCATAACCCATCAAATGTGATTGCTGATGCTTTGTCTAGACGATATACATTGCTGTCCCAACTTGATTGTCGGATTTTTGGTCTTGAATCAATAAAAGAACAATATGCACTTGATCCTAATTTTAAGGACGTGTTGATGAATTGTGGAGAGGGACGTACATGGAATAAGTTTATGATCAATGAGGGGTTTTTGTTTAGAGCTAACCGCCTATGCATTCTAGTTGGTTCCGTTCATCTTTTGTTGTTGCAGGAGGCACATGGAGGCGGATTGATGGGACATTTTGGTGCCAAGAAGATGGAGGAGGTGTTGTCCACACATTTCTTTTGGCCAAGGATGAGGCAGGATGTAGAACGATACGTGGCTCAGTGCACCACATGTCAAAAAGCTTAGTCGCGGTTGAACCCACATGGTTTGTATATGCCTCTTCTTGTTCCTTCTATTCCTTGGGCTGATATATCTATGGATTTTGTGTTGGGTTTGCCAATGACTAAGAGGGGGAGGGATAGTATTTTTATGGTGGTTGATCATTTTTCTAAGATGGCATATTTTATTCCTTGTCATAAGAGCGGCGATGTTGTTCATATTGTTGACCTTTTCTTTCAAGAAATCGTTCGCTTGCATGGTATGCCTTCTACTATTGTTTCAGAT